TGAATTGCACATAGCTTTGCTTCCCCAAAGGTATTGTTTTCCAGGTGTGTTGACGAGGTTGAAACTGCAGTTCAGTAGAGCCTGAATGTGAATATCATTTTGCGAAATAAGGCTATGTGAAATTCAATGAAAACTCATATGATTTTGGGCAACTTCAACTGCCACTCCTTCATCTCCTTAACGAAATATGGTGAGTACAACTTATATATTGCCTTTACCGGCCATCTCTATGATTCAATCCATGTACCCTGAACCAACTGCTCAAGTCAATTTCTAGCATTCTGCTGCCTCTATAATGGGGGTTTGGTCCATTTGGCTCCGATGTACCGAAAATAATGCCAAATTACTGTTACAGTTATGATTATACCTCTGTCTATTCCAAGCAGACTACAACAACCGAAAACGTGTTCTCCTGATTGGCAATACGTCATGGATCCAGATTGCCCTAGCAACACAAAGAAGTGACGAGAACGTATCAGATCACTCCATTCTTCGTCTCTTGGACAGAACTAGTCTCCTCCAAGCTTTCTGGAAGTGTCTGCAACGCTTTGTGCATGACATGCAATGAAATGCGGATGTCAACGACACTCAGAGTCACACTCACGACCTCGACCAGTCGGACCTCCGTTTTCAAGACCCGTCGGCCGAGGCCGAGTTCGGTAATGCCGGCCGGTCGAAGAGAGCATCTGCCTCTCCAGACTAGCTCTTGCGATCTCTTCGAGGCGATCCGTCTTCAGGGCAAGCCTACAAGTAAGTCGGTCAGCGTTCCCAGCCGTGTTGTACCCTCCAAAGGGGGTTGTGGCCTGTTGCTGAGGCGATTTTTTGTCATTTCATTGCTCACCCCTTTCCTTCCGGTCGTCAAGCGTCATGATCCGATCATTGATGCAACTTTTCCCACAACTGGCCATTTTATGCCCACTTCAGTGGGTATATGCATTCACTGGATTTTGACACAGAAATGCAGATCTGCGTGCAAATTTGCATACTCACTAATTCACTCATCTCTTCTGCCGTTCCCTTTTTCCCTTTTGCCTCTTGTTTTTGCCCAACGCCAATCAATGCGATGGCAAGATGAGCTCTTCCAGTCGGCTGAAATTCCTTCTGTCTGTATGTCTATTTCCAAATTATAGTTTATGTTTGTTCTGTCCGGCCTTCAAATCGGCCAACCCTAGGCCCGGATACTGAATTGAAAGAAGATTGTGGAGGAGGCATGAGTGCTGTATGCAGAAGCTTTCAACAAAACTTTGCTCAATATGATTCGGTGATGAAAATTTGCCACCAAGGCATTTCTAAATAGGTCAGATGTGAGCCTAACACTGATGATGGTATGGCAAAGTTTTGGTCAGAAATCATGTCTCCGAATGTTTTTTGTGAACAAAGACTGTCTTTACGGCATCCCACAATCGAGATCCACGATTGGTTAATTCACCTCATAGTGGGCAAATCAGACACACCCTGAAGCATCCGTTTACCAATCGGGTAACTACACTTTGTTAGAGAACCTTCTAACATTTCCGATATCCACTCTGAATTGCGGCAGACATATACGAATTGTATGCCTGCCCACGAATGCTAATTGTTGCAGCTGCTCATTTGGCAAATGGACGAATCCCAGACCTATCTGAGCATCACAACAAGAATAATCAGCATTGACTACCGAGTCGTCTCTAGGGCACTCTGGCGGGCGAAAAGACATTCTGCTTACGTGCATAACTCATTCATGGGATGAGATTGGAGACTTGGTACCACCGGCCGACTACGATGCCGGCGAAACATCTGAGAATATAGCAAGTCCACTGTCTGATGCTGGGAATTATGATAACTGCTATGGCAGACGACTTCGGACTAGGTGCGTTCTACTAAGTCGCCCTGACAACAAGATTAAGTTGCGAAAACTAGGCCAACCCACTTCGATTAATCTAAAGAAGACGGCGATCATACTGGGGGTCACACTGTCTTGGTATTCATATCTTCCATTAAGGATTGATAGGTGAATTTTAACGATGAAAAGAGGGGTAGGCCAACAGATGCCATTAAATTTCGTTTGACTTTGCCTCCCAACATCTTATTTCGTCTAGGCTGGATTGCAGTTTTGATCTCACCTAAGTCGAATCAGCATACTCAGCAGAATTAGTAACTGGCATCGTGAGATCTGCTCCCCGCATTTTGGCAAGAATTAGCTATAAATCCTTAAGTCACTCTAAGCGAACTTTGTGTCGGACGTTACTGAGTAGTTATGAAGAATCACAATGATTATATTTCTTTTATAAGTAGGATTTCGAGACTAAGAATAATTAGAAACGAAATTGCTATAGCAAATATAGAATTGCTTCATCGAAAATCCCTACATAGAAGATGATATGGGGAAATGCGTGGCCTTCCTTAAAATTCACTTCAGCCCTATGACTCAATGAGACTTATGGCAGTTGGGCTAACTTGCCGAGATTACATGCTGCTCTGCCATGGTTCGAGTCCCGCTGGGAGTGTTGAGAAGACCTGTGTGAGGTAGAAACTGCCTAGGTGTGAATAGCTTTTGAGCAAGCAAGGCTTAATGAAATGCAATCATTGTGACAAAGTTCAATTATGAGTCCTTCATCACTTTAAATGGAATAGGGTAAACACAGTTCATTTATCTGATTTACTGGTAATCTGGAAATCCCACTCAAAAACTTAATATTTAAGTGCGTTTCTACGTTTCGCATGTCAGGATATTAAACTATCAGAAATAAGTTTGAGCGATTAGAATAGTAAGCTAGGTCAACCGAAATGAATCATGTTGTAGTGAAACAAGGAAAGTGATTACTATGATTACGTGGGTATGAATGTACTTCTGGTTGAGTTGATGGGACTTAAATTGTATGGAATAAAGTGCAATATGGCTTGAAACCTTAATTGTCTGACCACTTTATTCGCCTTAAATTTGTATTTGGCTCAACACATATGCACGAAATTCCTCTGTTTTCCTAAAGTAATTCTGTACCTTCAATGTGCTCCCCGAGGAGTTAATTTCGATAGCTTCACTTATCTCACATTAACCAGCAAGCAGATGCATTTTAGACTATTCTGTCTCCTCTTTATTCATTTATGACCCAACAATATTCGTTGAAAAGAAAGAACACAGCCGGACCTTGATAATGGATCATCTTTATAGTTTAAAGTAGTCATGAGCAAAGGAAGAAACTAGAACATGAGAAAAAGTTTAGGCTTATGCTTTGAAGAATCTCTTGTTTTATAATTGTTGAGCTTACTTCCAATTTGAGTTAAGGTGTTTGGTTAAGAGATTTTAAAGTCGATTCTTCCTGACCAGCTGTCGATTGGCTTTACGGGAAGATTCATGCTG